TATATATATATTATATGAAAGTAAACATCTAATACTTTCAACACACATGGAAAGTAACAAATCCCTGATCTCCAATTGCAAAAATATCCATTCTTTTTACAATTAATAAAAGGAAGAATACAAAATTATATAATGCAAAAATACAAAAAAAAAAAAATTCTAGCAATAAAAAATAAGAAAAATAAATTTTTTTTTTTTAAAAACAATAATTTCTGCCTTCTTGCTAAAACAAAATAAGTCTTTCCTTACCTGTAGCTGATTTCTTCTCTGTTCCCTGCTGACTGAGATAAATCATGCTTGGACACCCCCTCAGCATGAATGAATACTCTACAAACATGAAAATTATAAAATTACCTTCTCTCACAATCAAACTCGACTCGCCGATCGCTTCTCGTGTGCTCACCAGACTGCGCTCGGCACGGCTCGTATAACTAAAATGATTTTCTGATATATTCCTTGTATCTTAACCACAAAAAAATAACAATCTTCCATTATCTACTTCAACAGAAGCTGTGTTTCATTCAGTTCTGCAACTCTTTTTAGCTGATTAATCTGCTGGTTCCAATATATGACAATTCTTGATGAACTCATTGGAGTAATTTACATGTTTGGTCCAGAAAGGCTTTAGGAGCCTGTAACCAATCTCTAACCATGGTTTACATTGACCATTGTAGTGGATAACGGCAGCCTTTCTCACGTTATCGAGGTTGGTTTCTTCCTGATAACCCAAGCCGAGCATGTGCCACGACGGGTCCATTGGATGAACGTGCCCTCGAAAGGCTATTAGAGCTGGTGGTAGTGTTCCAAGCTTCCAGAGAGTCAAATTAGAGTTCAAGTTCTGCAGCAGATAATATAAGGAAATGTTAGAAAACAGTTTAAAAATGAAAAAATATGGTTGAGAAAAATTTCAAAAGTTTTATGGTCTTTTATCATTAATATAAAACTAAATCTCAAGTAAAAAAAAGGTGAAGAAGAGGACTAAATGCTACCGGTGCATGGAGCTCCAGCAAATCAATATTACATATATATATATAT